CACCTTGCCTGGCCTAATTCTTTAAACAGAATAAACGGGGTATGCATTGCTTTCCATCTTGTTAGGCTAGCTGCATACAGGATACTTTTCTGTAAGAAAATACCAGCTGTTTTCCCAAGGTTGCAATGTCACAGGTGGTTTTGACCTGAGTTTTCATATATTTTACCCCCTCTTCTGCCCTCCTAACAAGAACTGTGAGTTGGATGCAGAAGTTTCTAAAAAACTTGAGTATTGAAATTGGCTGTTGCAGCGGGGACGAAAAGCAGCACCCCTGCCTCCCCCCGAAAGAGACATGAAAGTAGTTGGATTAAGGGCACGGGAGTATTTGCTTTCCGATTTAGTGGTAACGTGAGTACTTGATGAAATGGCTAACACATTCCCTGATTATAGAGTTGGTCAGTGGATCTTGGCTGAGTTTCCTGTGGGCCTATGTGAAATGATCGGCATCTGTTCAGCGTTACTGTGTGCTAAGCACCTTTGCATGTGTCATACGTTGAATGCTCACAACAGCCCCAGGAAATTGGTACCAGTGTTATCCTCGTGGTACGTGAAGGATACTGAGACTTAGGTTGCGTAGCTTGCGGGTTGGACACACTTCTTTCGGACTGCTGGAGAGCTGTGCTTTTAACCACTACTGATGCAGCTTGTTTTCCCCAGATGCAGGCCTAGGGTAGTCTCCTTTCTGGACTGAGAAGAGAAGAATGGAGAAGAGCCCCTTCCCATTGTGAGTGGACAGGAAATGGGTATGGAATAGCCAGGAGCTTCTGGAAACCAGAGTTCCTTTCCTCAGCTGAAAAGAACCCTAAGAGTAGACTGCCTGGGATTGCGTGGGGGATGGGAGGATCACTGGACCTGTGGGCCAGAGACTTGGGTTTGAGTCCCAGCTCTGGCTTTGCTGAGTTGTGTGACTCTCAGAAAGTCATTCAACCTCTGTGGGCCTTATTTTCAGTGATAGAACGTGTGGGGAATGATTACCTTTTAGTCCCATCCTATGACAATATGGTTTGTTTTTAAAGCCAGGTTAACACTGACTTCTTTCTCGTGTTTTCAGAGTGCCTTTGCATTGGTTTGGCTTTGGCTACACAGCAGTGGTTGTTTCTGGTGGGATCGTTGGCTATGTAAAAACAGGTATGGTTTTGTTGTTACTTAGCCTCTTAACATCTTCACGTTGTTCCAGTGAAATGTGAGTGCCCGGATATCCCTGAGAAGCAAGCTCATTTCATTCAGGTTTGCTGTTGGTCCCCTAGCTGGAGTGCAGGCTTCCTTGTCAGTGTTGCAGCTCCTGCACTTGCCTTCTGGTTATCTGGTGAAGCTGAGCCAGGCCTCTTGTGGAATTACTTGTTTTTGCCTCTTTATCTACAGATAGGCAGGGGTGGTTATAGTTTGTTATTATCATTGACTACCGTGCATCAGCCACGACCCCCAAGTGCTATCTCCGGGCTCAGGTAGGAGGAAACCTCTGGTCTACACAGACTGGTATTTTGAAGTCTCCTCATTAGGCCAGGCAGGGGTGTGTCAGTGGCTGTGCTTGTTTCTGCCCCCTAGTCCTTGCCTGCATTCCCACCCCAACCCCCACACCAGAATTCTTATTGTCCAGGTCTTTGTATTTTTGTTTAATTGATTGGCCCTATTTCCCTCTCCTTTTGTGATTTGCTGGAGGTCCTGCCTGTACACAGTTCCAGCCCTTCATGGTTGATCAGGCCTGTTTAGAAA